GCAATCGGTTGAGGATCCAATTCTCAATCGATTGTCAACAGTTTCATCCCTTAATCTCTGCTGGGGGAGGAGAAATATATTTTTTAATCAAAGCCGCCGGACAATCGGTCGGGATCCTCCGGAAATATTCATCTCTCCTCCCCTAATTGAGATGAAGGGATGAAACAACCGCAATCGATTGAGGATTCAATTGTCATTCGATANTTGAGGATTCAATTTTCAATCGATTGGCAACCGTTTCATCCCTTCGTCCTCATTAGGGAAGGAGAAATTGATTGTTATATTAAGGGCAGGATTCCGCCGCCCGTCGGCGTTTCGAACTGCGGTAGGTTTCCCTCACCTACTCGACAGCGAACATCACCGCTCGCTCCGCCCTCCGATTCCCCCATACGCGTTCCCCCCACTCTGCGCCGTTATCGACGCTCTCACACGCTCCCTGTTTTACTTACAGGTACATACTCAAAATTAGTTCTGCGCCACCGCTACGAAATTTTGCAGTTGAAGCGTTTCCATAGGCGCTAGCAATCTCCCTTATAATTTTTGTATCACTTTCATGAAAATTTCAACCTATTACTAGATGAAGACGACTGCTTGGGAAGGTGCAGTCCATTGCGTTGCAGCTATTTGGAGTCCGCTAATAAATCAAGCTCAAAGAGTAAGCGATCAACTCTTTCATATGTCAGACTGGCTTCCCACATTGCTGTCCGCGGCTGGTGAGTTCATAATACCTTCATCCCTTCTTCAATTACCATTTTCTGAAATTACTTACATCGAGGATGTAAACACAAATGGAATGTAGTGTATAGATGATATCACAACTCCATGCAATTACATGACATGTTTTGAATCTTGAATAAAATTCTGAATATCTGAAATACTGTAAAATCTCAAAAGATTTGTTAAGAAAATCAAGAAATGAAATCTGTACAATATTTATCCTAAAATGTTATTTCGAATTCATCACAATATGCATAGGAACGGATATTCGAACTCTGTGAACTGAGAATATGAAATTTCTCAGGATACGTTTGAAATTGTTGGCAATCCTATTAAATTCTTTGAAAACATATCATTCCTATCGACATCTCAAAGAATATTTCATAATCTTTAAAATAACGAAATCTTGAAATCCAGTGTACAAGTTTCTCCGTGGTGATTGCCAGAGATGTGGAATGACTGTCAATTTCCCTTTTGGTCAGGTCAGGCGTAAATGACCGGTTTGTGTCTCTGGTCGATTTTTTTTTATGCAAAAGCTCGCCAGATACGAGCCAAAATGACCAAAAATCATCTATGTAAATGAAAATTGACCGTTACTTTTATTTCGGTCATTTTTGGGACCTTTTTTTAAGGGCTCGATTGGAAAACTTTTGAATAGAATTGAATTATCTTTTATTATATCATTTATTAATTATTATCAACGGCCCCGTTCTCAATGATATACTGTCAGAAAAAAAATGAAATTTCATAGACAGTTGACTAGTAATTTTCACGACAGTGCCAATGAATGCAATTTAAGAGGAAAAAAATAATGAAATTTTCGATTTCACTGAAAATTCAATAAAATTCAAAAAATTTGAGAAGCATGAAAACAAGTATTCTTCGATATCATTTTATTTTCAATGAAAACATAAATATTTTATGCCAAATTACCTTTAATTGTCAAATAATTAAAAATTCAAGAATATGTTTATCGGATTTTTCTGGTTTTTTATTAATTTTCAAGGAATAATTGAACTAAAATTTACAGTTCTCGGTTTCTCTAAAATTGACAGAAATTCAGAATCTTCAATGATGAAATTCCTTGAAATTGCAGTGGAACTTGAATGTGATAAAAATATCCAAAAATTGTATAGAAGGAAGCACGAAAATTGAGGGTCATCTATATAAAAAAAATTATTCGGTCATTTCATGCTTATGGCCAATCGTCATTTATTTTCTGACCAAATGGTCAGATTCTCGACGTGGAGAATCGACCATAAAGAAAGGAATTTATATTGGGGACGCTTAATAACAAGACGCCCTCTATGAATGTCTGCGTTAAGGGTGCACATCTACGATACACAAGCAAATGGGGGCTTGTGTGAGCGCGTGTGTGTATACCTCTTTGACGGCCATATTGGCAAAAAACAGCGCCCTCAACGATATTTCCTGTTCCCAATAGCGTTTCACATCTTTGTGATGTCATAGAAAATGATTGGGCGGGCCGTGGGTGAGGTAGGAGGGGAATCGACGTGTAATTATCGATCATGAGGATGGTCATTGACGGTCATTTCTGTCACTCACATCTAGTGATTACCCCCTCGATTTTACATCAACAATTTCTAATACCTGTTTTCTTTGTTCAAATAAGGAATCAATACAACACTACCAACTCTCGATGGCTTTGATATGTGGCCGACAATAGTTGACAACGAAGAAGCCCCACGTACTGAAGTTCTAATAAACATCGACGAGATATCTAATTACTCGGCGATAAGAAGTGGTAATTTTAAATACCTCGTCGGATATCCAGGACGTGTTACCGGTTGGTACGGAAATTTGAGTGCATCAAATGACATCGATTTGAATTATCAACCAGAGAATGTCCTGAGGTCCAAAGCTGGAGCTGCGATGATTGGATTAACAACAGAGAGACAGCTTTCGAATTCTAGTAATAATGTTAAAGTTCTGACGCCTAGTAAAATCAATCGCCTCAGATCTGAGGCAACGCTTTACTGTAATGTGGCAGAGAACCAAATGGTTTGTATCAAAATCATGAAACCTATCTATTCCGTTCATATTTTTCAAGTATTGAATTACTATTTTAAAAAATTATGTTCAGATTGCTTGTGATCCGACTGTGGCCCCCTGTCTCTTCAATCTTGAAGAAGATCCCTGTGAAATGATAAATATCATAGACATGCACCCGGAAATTGTTCAAATGTTGGAGGAATCCCTTGAGAAGCATAAAAGCACTGCGCTCCCGGCTGCGAATATACCTGGAGATATTGAAGGAGATCCAGTTAAATGGAAGAGTCTCTGGGTTAATTGGCAAGACCCGAAGCCTGCGATGACACCCTTCATCACTCCCAAAACTGAGACAAATTCAGCTTCCTCGAGCACAACAATCATTGCAATTTTGGGATGTATTCTAATTTGCGCTGTAGCTATTATAATTATTCTAATGATTAAGAATCGTAGAAAAAGTTTGAACAGCAGAAACAATCATATTGACATATCAAATGTTGATGAGCTCAAAGGTTCCCATCTGTAAGTAAAAGTATCAAAATTCATAAATTACCAACAGAATCTTCTCGGCTACGAATTTTTTTTTTTATATTTTCCCTCGAAACGCGGCTTCTTCTCAATGAATGCCTAATTAGTTTTTATGATTGTTATAATTTGCTTCCCCAATTCAATATTGAATTAACTGAGCTCTCATTACGAATTTTTAGAAATAGATCGAGCTGGACAATGCCACTGGAAACCCAGCCGCTCCACCTCAATACTCCCTAAGGTCTTAGAGAAATAAGTTTTTATTACATTAGGTATTTAGTTATTAGGTGTGTGACTTAATTTTTACAGATTTTTTCTTCGAGCTTAAAATTATATTTAAAATAGAAATATATTCGCGGTCTTTTCTGGTTTTGAAAGGATCGGACAAAAGGTTTTAGAACACGGAACGACAAGGCTATGTAAGTTACATAACCTTTCAGAATAGCAGAATTTACGATGGCAACTGATAAACAGCACATTCCGCACTGCATTTTATACGAATTCCAATAAAGAAAAAATGCTTCTGAAGCACGGGAATCAATGTGTAGTGTTCTTGGTGCCGACGTTGTATCTTATGAAACGTGTAATTATTGGTACAAACGTTTTAGAAGTGGTGATTTCGATCTGAGTGACCAGCCGCGTCCTGGACAGCCTCGAAAGTTTACAGATGCGGAATTGCAAGCTCTACTCGATGAAGACTCAACGGAAACGCAACAAGAGCTTGCAGCTCAGTTAGGAGTCACCCGAACAGCTATTTCTAAACGTTTGCGTCAAATGGGAAAAATCCAAAAACTTGGAAGGTGGGTCCCACATGTGTTGACCGAACACCACCTAGGTCAACGTATGAACATGTGCCTTTCACTGCTTGCCCGACAACAAAAAAACTACTTCTTGTGTAGAATTGTGACAGTTGATGAAAAGTATATTTTTTACGAGAATCCCAAACGGAAAAAGTCGTGGGTAGATCCCGGATTATCCAGTACATCGACGCCGAAACATAACATCCACTTAAAGAAGATTCTTCTGTGTATCTGGTGGGACATAAAGGGTGTGCTTTATTACGAAATCCTGGAAACAGGTCAGACGGTGACTACGGAACGCTACAGCCAACTGAACAAACTGAGCGAAGAACTTGATCGGAAAAGGCCTTTTACTGGGCAAGGAAGCAGGCAAATCATACTGCTGCATGGCAATGCTCGACCTCAAGTTGATGGCACGACTCAGAAGACCCTCTTAAACTTGGGACGGGAAGTTCTCCCGCACGCGGCATATTCATCAGACTTCGTCCCATCCGACTATCACTTGTTCCGGTCCATGCAGCACGCCTTAGTGGATAAACGGTTTAAAACGCTGGACGATGTGCGTAAATTCGTCGATGACTTCATCGCCTCGAAGCCTGCAAGTTTCTTTCGCGACGGCATTCGAATGTTACCTGAGATGACGCAAGGTCATAGAAAACGATGGACAATATTTCCAAGATTAAGTTCGTTGTTCTCTATTTTTTTATATTAAATAAATTTACTGAAAAATCTGTAAAAATTAAGTCACACACCTAATATTTGCTATGGAAATTCTTGGCTGGAGATCCTCGAACCATCCCTAGCAACAGGGCTATTTATACTCATCGCCCGAACAAAGTCTGTATTGTAAGGTTTGTGAATAGAGATTAATTCTTGTCCCTCACCTTTTTCAATTTCGAAAAAAACAAATTATTTTAAAAAAGCAAACGATATGAAAAGGTTGGCAATGTGACACATTTCTGGGCAGTTTAGTTCGATTTTTATCTAAATATTCTTCATCATTTAGACCACTCTCTCTTGAACAAACGTGTTGAATTTCTCTATATTATAAAATTTTTAATTAACTTCTGGTGATAAAAATTTGGTACTCGAAATTAAGACTCGAAAATAAAGGATTCCAAGGGTCAAAAAATAAGGGTCACAAGAGTTAAAACAAGATTCACGAGGGTTAAAATAAGGGTCATAAGGTTCATATTGAGAACCACAAGAGTCAGAATACGTGTTACAAGGGTCAGAGTAATGGTTTAAATAAACGTCGTGGGGGTCAAAAACCAAGGATCAAAAAGTAATGGTCACAAGGGTCAAAATAAGGATCACGGGGGTCATTATGAGGGTTAGATTAAAGATCCAAATGAGGGTCAAATTAAATGTCACGAGGGTCAGATTACGGGACACAAAAGTCAGAATATCTTTCTATATTATCAAAATCCAAATCGACTTTTGGTGATGAAAATTTGGTACCCGAAATTAAGACTCCAAAAATAACGGGCGAAATAAGGGTCACGAAGGTAAGTATAAGGGTCGTGGGGGTCATATGAGGGTCATGTGGGAGTTGCCGAGCGGAGTGAGCAGGTTCATAATAACAAGGGCGAAAATAAATATTCATTCGTTCATGCAATGATGGATTATTATTTAGAAATAACAAGTCTTCAGTGAAATTCGAATCAATGTTTAATTAACGATAGAATACCCTCTTCTGATTCCTCAGTCTTCAATATTTCTGTGGTTTCTCATGAAAAACATTTCTAGCTTCTTACATTTATTTTCCCATGATGACGCCTTCTTTAATCCTAAGAATCTCATAATCAAAAGTTCCCTGCGTTGGGTGCCCTTCCATTGCCTGTCGGTGGGAAGATAATATAAAAATGTCAAGTTGTCCTGTACTTTTATACATGTGCACATTTCACGCATAGAGCACACCGATGGCGAGGACATATTGGCTCTTGACACGACGGACATGCCGACTTAGTTTTAACACCCGATGAATGATGACAGTGACTGCACTTTACTCTCTTCGGCAGATCAATGACTTGGTGGTGTTGAACGGACTTTTCTTGTCCAAGGAGGCTTGAGAGCTTTCTTCTAATTGCTATTCGCAAAGTTGGAGATTCCTGACGCCTTCGTAATTGTGGTTCAATAAGAGCAAATGATAATTCCTTCATGAAATGCTGTCGCTTTTTCCTGGAATTGGGATGAAGCAAGTTGTAGATTATAGTCGCGTTCACATTCGCTTTATCCAATATGCTGAAAAATACTCTCAACGGCCAACGACGCGTTCGTCGTCCAACGGCATATAACTTACATGCTTGATCGAAGGAATAAGTTGCCCGTTTATGCGCATTATACGTATTAATTATGTCTGGTTTTCCAATCGTCGCATGTACACAGGTCAGTCTAATTCCGGTTGCCAATATCGTCATGACTTTATTCTCCTTTGGAACGTACGAGACCAAGCCAAGATTGTTGTTGGTCCCACATAATATTGTTCCTGGAAGGCCCTTTTCCAGAAACGAACTGGGGATTTCTGTTTTTTTCTTCCGTATCGACCCCAAACCTTTCAATCCAAATTCTGTGTCCAAGACTCGGAATAAATCGACAGAGGTGAACGATTCACACGTCACGACAGTGCGACCAGAGTCACAAATACTTGGAATCAATTTACGTACAAAATACAGTGGAACCGACTCTTTTCTCTCATTGTCCGTAATCTTTCCCAAATATGGGACTGCACTGATCATGTATCTCGTTCTAGTATCATTGATTAATATAAATTTCATGCCTGAAGGACTGGAATCATTAGATGGGTGCATCTTGAAAATACATTTTCCTTTAAATGCCTCTATTTGCTCATCAATTGTACAAGTCGCAGTAGGTGAATAGAATTTTGTACAATTTGCTATAAACATCTCCCAGATATCGCGACAGGCCGCGAAGCGATCACTCTTACGACGAAGGAGACGAGACGATTTGTCGTCAAAACACAGGCATCGGAGTAGAAACCTGAATCTTTGTGCTGGCATTGTAGCTCGGAAGGTATTGGGTGCAGAATCATCCCCGAATAAATCGGTGAGATTAACGGTATTCTGTTTGTACACGCCCGCGAGATAGAGCAGGCCAATACATGCTCTCATTTCTACAGAGTCTGTTTCCTTATGATAAGTCTGTCTAAAATTATGAGCTTTCTTTGTTCTACGAATTTCTTCATTTGTGTGAATAACAATCAATTCGATCATTTCATCATTGATCAGATAACTCCACGCGTCAAGAGGATTCTCAGCATTTTTTGCGTCTCCAATAATCGCTGGTAGATATCTATTGGGAGTTGGTTCTAGGCTTGGAGACGGCGGTGGTTGCTTATGATACCACCAAATGGGATTAGTCCCTCGTCCGCATGTCCTGGGACCGGGACGGATTTGGCTCGGGCTTGTCTTCAGGCGTTTCGCAAGGGGAGGTTGGTCCTCCTCGATGTCGACTTCTTCTTTGATTACTACATTCTGCACGGGATTGTCATCGTCACCTTCTTTTTTGATTGATACATTCTGCACAAAATTGTAATCGTCATCTTCATCATTCTCTGAAAGAGGGATGATCTCGCCTTCACTTTCTTCACAACTTCCTTCTGAGTACTCTTCATCTGAAGTTTGCACGTCGTCTAAAACGTGCTCATAATTCTTTTCGGCCATACCTGTAACAAATAAAGCACGAAAAATTGATGAAGATTTGAAATGTTCACGATTCGGTCATCAGAAATATTTATTTACTATCCATGCTTTATAGTCGGTCGAATACTTTTGATCCGATAACTATTCGTAAGATGTCTTCCGAAAAAAACAGAAACAGATATTTTTATAAAAACTTCTATCAAGTAAATATGTTGTTCAGCTGCTTCTGAAAGGAAATCAATGCATCACAAAAGAAAACAATCCCCATAGAAAATCTGGAAGAATATTTCCCCAGGTTATTCACCCAGGAAAAATCCAAACTACTTTTTAGCCTTTTCTATCGCTCTTATGTTGGGCGCCAGCCAAACCTTTACGAAAAGTTCAATTATATTATTATTATGTAAACGATGTTTCAATATCGAGGAATAATTCGAGGAACGTGTCATTTTATCATTTTATCAATCCATTTGAACTTCTAAGCGAGCGAATAAGAATTCCATAACGAATGCGGTCGAATGAGTGAAAATATCAGTTAATGTGTGTTTAAATTGACTGCGCAGCGCACGTGTTCAATTGAGCTGCGCGCGCAAAAAAGGGTTGGGCCTTAGGCTGATCGTTGGAAGTCTTTTGGCGTCATACAACATAAAAACACGGTCATAATTTTTTTTTATACAAAATCTAGCGATCCTGGATCAGTGGTTATCACTTTGAATGTGTAGAGAATTTTCTTGTCTACAAACTAGTATCTTTTTTTACGTTTTGATTAGTGCAGTTGAATTGACGTAATCAATGTTCTTGGCGTTGATCTCTTAAAAACGATTAGTTTTCAATTAATTTAAATAACAACCCCGTTCAACGTCGTTAGATTCGCTGGCGTCAGAAGTCTAAATTGACTCGTCCATCTACACCACCGAATGGGTGGCGTTCCTAATCTCGACCACCAAGAAATAAACAGTGAAACCTCGTCTCTACACTAATTCAATTAACGAGAGTCCAATGAAACATCTCTACGCGACAAAATAACGCATGACGGCATTTCTATACGATCCGAAGGACGGCGTTCTTCGAATCTACACCGTGTACAGATGAGTCCGTTGCATTTTTATACGGACTCTTCGGCAGCGCGTCCTTGTCCTAAGTCAGACTCCCAGTCAAGTCTTGAGAACATTTAAAAAATGGTTATCCATATGTATAACCAATGAAATAAATTGTATATTTTCATTTATATAAAAAATTGTTTATTATTTTATGTCACAAAACCGGTGAGGAAATATTTTCTTTAAAATTTGAATTTACAAGCGGAACGGAGTAGAATACGGGGCGTCGGAGATCAATTTTTGTAGCGATAAACGCCGCTAGGCGATCGAGTGGCGCTGGGCTTTCTGTTGGCGAGTTAGCTCGGAAAAGTTGATAAGTAACGGCTGTCAGTGAAATTTTGCACAGATCAGTGTGCAGTGTACCCTGCCCACTTCAACCCACGGCGGAGGATTGTGGCAAAACATTTTTAACGCAACCCTTTTCGTAAGTAGCCTCGAAGCTATAGTCTACTCATTTGGAGCACTCAATCAGAGATGCTTACCAATTTTGAAAAGTAGCCTGGAAGCTATAGTCGACTCATTTGAAGCACTCAATCGGAGATGCTTACCAATTTTGAAAAGTAGCCTGGAAGCTATAGTCGACTCATTTGAAGCACTTAATCGCAGATGCTTACCAATTTTGAAAAGTAGCCTGGAAGCTATAGTCGACTCATTTGAAGCACTTAATCGCAGATGCTTACCAATTTTGAAAAGTAGCCTGGAAGCTATAGTCGACTCATTTGAAGTGCTCAGTCGGAGACAATTAATTGCAAGCAGCCTGCTGGGTGTAGTTGACTCTGGGAAAGGGGTTGGGAATCCGCGAGAATCATTTTGGTGTGGACTAAATTTGATTAATAACAATTGCCCACAATTGATCAACATTAATATTATTTAAAACTCGTATTCAGCTCCGAGGAGATTCCCGATTAATTTGAGAATTGTTAAGGAAATCTGGAAGCAATTAATAAACGGACGAATAAATAGACAATCAGTCGATGCCCGCTGCTTGGAGAATAATGAGAAATGTCAGAGAGAGTAACTTTGATAATTCGTTGTACTTTGATTATATCCGGTGGATTTTATATTATTTTATTGTTTTGAAGTATCATTTTCATTATTTTGATAATAAAGTTTGTGGTGGATTGGAAAAATCTCAAGGATGACAATAGAGTCTAACATGATAAGACCAGTTCGAAGGGATTTTCCTTTCTCTATTTAATTAATCAGAAATAATTAAAGGATAAAGAAAAAAAAATAAGAGTCGAGATTTTTATTGATCATTTAAGCTCTCGTTATTTCCAAGCAGAGATTGTCGAACTGAGAGAATAAAATTCTGTTTGGATACCGGGAGTAAAAAGTAAAATAAAAATGCGAAGTAAAAATTGAGAATAAAATGAAAGCCCGATGTATCGAATAATATTTAAAAATTAAATATTGACAATAAAAGAAATTTAACTTTCAATGAATCGATAAGCCTCATTATTTTAAAAACCCTGGACAACTGAAGCATCCGGCAAAAATGAGCAAGGATTAAAATTTAAGAAATCAAGAAAAGTTTCATTACAAAGCTTTTCCGTCTCATTTGACATTATAAAAAATTACTTGAAATGACTAGATTACTCAACACGACACCGTAATTTCAGTTGAAATGATGAATTTCATTGAGTAATCTCGGAGTTCTCATAACCAATGTTCGTTATAGCTCGGCCTTGACTCTGTTACGTAGGTAACTAAGCTCGTGTAGAGTCCCCACAGTAGCTGCCATTTTTACTAAAACTAGCGGAACATTTGAACGAGAGAACTAATTAAGAAATAAGATTAAGATAAGGAAAATGTAATATGTAAAATCGCTTAATATTTGTAAATTATATTTTTATCCTTTCTTATGGGGTTTTTGATTATATAGAGTTCTAGGAAAATCCAAACGTTCATGAGACTCCTTTTTCTAAATATTCTCAACAGCTGCATTTTTCAGACCTTTTATCTTTTCCCCAAGTATTCAATATATTGTTCTTTTCCATTCTCAAACGCTATAAAATAAATCCAGTTTTTCATCAAGAGTTTTCTTTTCTCTTTCGAATTCCAAGACCACCTACGAGGTACCCGTCTAGACCCTGGGACAATTGCCAGTCTTGTTAATAACTAGATGTTCAAATAATTTCCTCGAGAATTTTATTTTCTTTTTCGCGTCGCTTCTGTCTATCGTAAAGCCTATTCTTTGGAAAATATTCCAGTACGAGTTTTATTTCGTCTTTACATTTTTTCTCTGTTAATCCGTGTCCGTCATAAAATTTCACTGGTTTTATTAGGGTTACAAATTTCCACGCGTGGGGAATCAGACCCTCAATAACTACCACTCGGGACAGCGCCAAAGCGTCAGGGGCCTCATTACCTGTAATTGGCATCACCCTTCAGTGGGCGAGATCAACCCCTACTACTACTCCCACTAGTCACCGCCCTTCATGCAGACCCAAAATTTGCTTTACTGTGATTTGTTGAACCCCCTCTACTCGCGAAGATGTTGGCACCTCATGAATGTTTGATTGAACCCCAAAAAGGGAAAACTTATAATTTTTTGGCACTTCGTTCTCAAGTTTGAAAGAATAAAGATCTCTTAAAATTACAAGTCTCGTGTAAACTTTAACTCTTGTGAGTTCTCAAGAACAAATATTTAAAATAAAAATATCCAAGTGTTCAAACATAAAAAAAGTGGTGTCCACGAATATTTTCGAATAAACTAAATTGTGTGTGATTAATATTGTGTGTGGTCATTTACTCAATTTTCCCGCACTTAGAGCAGAGTGCTTCAGCACTCCACGGGCAACCGAGTCCATTCCCTGAACTAAAATCTAGGGAGCCTGAAAAGGTACGCAACAACTCATCCATGAACAATATTTCAGATGGCACACTCGTATGCTTGCGACGATATACTTCTCGATATTCATCTGTATCGACGAAGATTATCACCTGTAATTCTTTCTTTCTCCACGAGCGCTTCTGATACTGTTTTCGATGTCTCATTCGCTGAACTCCAGAATAGTGTTTCGTGTCGGGACCGATTCAGTGTAGGTTGGCAATTCGTCAACAATAATTCGCTTTCCGCGCTGAGGAGTGTATTGATGCTTTACGAATTGAGCTATGTATATTATTGTCAAATTGAGGTATGTATATTATTAACTGACCGCTTACATAGGCGAATTGATTAATGCAAGGTTTGCTATCGTAGTCAAACTCTAGGAATCACTGAAAGTAAAAGTCTTCCGAATCATTTCATTGTCCAATAAGAATGTAAACAACTTCCCCCCAATTCCCCCTATGTTTAGATATTCTACCTCGTTAATGGCGTTCTATCCGCTCGGCTTTGTGGGCACTTCTGACATTTTTTTGTTCCCAGGTTACTAGCACAATAGCAGACCAACAAGGTAATGTCAACTCAGCTCGCATAGTATCGTAAATTTCAAAATTTAGGAGTGCAATTGTTTTCTTTCGATTTACGGATCAAAGAAAACGAATTGTCAGGCGCTGGTCAAATTTCTTGCGACAAAGGTCGGAAAGAAGTTGGAACTCGTTGAGTGGAACATGGAGCATAATCATCCTCCCACAAATGGATCGGTACTGAGAAAACAGTAGTATATTTCGAGACAAGTGCGGAATAGTATATTTCAGCACGTGTGGGGCAATTTCGTCTTTAACGTGTGTGGGGTTTACAGCATGAGCCGAAGGCGAGTGATGTAACCACACACGTTAAGGACGAAATTTCCCAACAAGTACTGAACAAAATTTATGTCACGAAACCTGAAACCGGCTGAATTAGACACGAGACGCGAAGCGTCGAGTGTGTAATCCAGCCGGTTTCAGGCATGAGTGGCATAAAAATTTTTATCCGTACGGACCGTCACTTTTCCCAGTCTGGGAATTAGTATTGACTCTTCCACGGACTGGCAAAAGTGAAAGTCACTATGGAAAAATATCGTTCGCGTTTAGTGCCATAGGGGATTGGCGCGAAGCGTGCGTAAAAGTCCACTTTTCCGCACAGTTTGATGAAAGATATGTTGATGAACATCAAATTCTCCATAAATTCTCTCTTTTTCTTTAACTCGACAGTGTGATGACGCGAGTGAGACCGAGTCAACAGGAATCATCGAGCACAGAAAGAACACACTGCATGCGGAAACGAGATCGCTCACGTCAGTTGAATCATCGAAAAGACATTCGAAATCAACTTCTCAACCAGGAACAGCGTCAGGCAGTTCTCCGTGCAATCAGGTTGGGCACTCTTTGGATGTTTTCATCACACTTCTCAGTTCCATCAAACCAGTCAGAATAACTCGTGATACCCTTGGACCTGTAGTTTTTTACATTTTAATTTAATTGTCATGATTCATTGAAGTTGACTGATGAAAATTGGTTTTCCTCTTCGATCTATGAGCACATGAAAAAAATGACAATTTACAAGAATTTTTGGAAGAAAAAAGTCCAGCAGAACCAGAAAAAATTCCAGAAGCTCCAGCTGAATCAATTCAAATGGAAAAATCCACTTCGTCAGATCATGCTACAATTCATCAGGTTAGATACTTTCTGAATGTCTTTACTACACTTGTCGCCATACAAATTCTCACACTAGCAGCTTTTCAGACGGTAACTAACTTACACCTTTTATCTCTATTAATATCAATGAGATGAGAGTTCTTCAATTTCTAGGAACAAAAGACTGATTCTTCATCTGTCTCCGTTCAGGTCCAACCAAAGCTAGCAGGTGGATCTGCGGCTACTAGGTCCATTCGCAACGATTTTGACCCTTCAAGGAAAAAACGACATGTTTGCGACCTAATTACGTCAACAGTGGGAGTGTTTGGAGAGGTAAATCACATGATCAGTACAGAATTTCGTATTTCTCGAGGTTTAACAATATTTTTCTAATACTCTATAGTGGGGTATTGAGTTTTACGAATATTGAGCGCACAAAAATTTGGTTCTCGTGAAGATTATGAAAGAAAGTTATCGCCCCAACTTCTTTCACATGGCATGAAGGTGGGTGGATACAATTACCCATGGGGAATTGAAGTAAGCGGAGAGTGACTTTCCTGAATCTCGGATTTTTTTACTTGAGACAAAACTAATTCACTAGAATCCTCCATAACAAGTGTAGTCTTTCCACTGTTTATTGTTCATAAATCAAATCGTGGAAGCTGAAGAACCCGAGATTGAAAATTCCCAACTACAGATTCTCACGAATGAGAAAATCCTATAGGATTTCCTATCGGAATTTCAATAGGATTTCCTATATGAATTTCAATAGGATTTTCTGTTGGAGTTCTTATAGGGAATCCTACAGGAAATCCTATGAGAAATCTTATAGAAAATCCTATACGAAATGCTATGGAGAATTCGAACATTTTTTTTCGAAGAAAATCCTATAGGTAATCCTACAGGACTTTTTCATACGTGTTACACTTGAGAACTCCTTTTTGCAGTCTTGACTTCTTTTCCCAACGTTAATATTCATTTGCAAGTCTCTATGGACATCCGTATTCCTCCCATTCCGATTTTTCATGGACCGTGAGGCTGATATTTTTTGAACTAATGAGAAGCTGATATTTTCGAAGACCATGCTGATATTTTCTGTTTTTTGGACAGAATAGCATTATTTTTCCCCATTAAAAAAAAAAAAAAAAAAAAACAAATGTTTCGATTTTCACCCTTCCAAATTTGCTTCTAGCAAGGAATTAAATGGAGGAATGGTATTAGAATTTTAATCATTTGCTCTTCTCAGTCCACACATATCCGAACTTTAATATACATCTCACAGCTTTTCTATTTACATTTCCTAGCAATTGAGTATTGGTCTTGTGAAATTTTGAAAGAGAAAATTGCCATTTTTTTTTCAAATTTGAAATTTTTCATTTTCTATAAAAAAGTCTCTCAATTCATGAAATCTTTAACTGAAGACGATCCAAAACAGCCTAAGACATTTTGGTAATGGGGTAATATAGCGACTCCAACGAATTTTTCGAGGAAGCTGAATTATTTTGTCATCCAATATAAATAGAAATTGAAATCAGGAAAAAAATTGAGTCGGACTCAATTAGGTAAATAACTTGAAGGGGGTGACTGGGTCAAATTTTGGCCTTTGTGGAGTTCATACCAGCTGCGTTCCCGTCGCGAACCCTGGGTAATGCTAAGTGCTGGTGAAGCTTGATACTTTGAAAAATAAGTGCTTCACTACAGGTTGAATTTATATGAACACCTCATAATTGAAATTTCATAAATTGCTTTTAGAAGGGAAAGCGCAGAAAGGGAAGTCCCGTACATCTACATGAGCATCCACGTTCTTAAGTGTGATGGCTCAAAGGAGGTCAAATTAATTTATTGCAACTAGGTTCCGACAAAATATACGTCAAATTACTTCAAGTTCAATATAAAAAAGTTAATATTTACCTATCAGTATCCAGAATGAGTAGGAGGTGCTATTCTACCTAATTACCGACGTTTTTTTACCTGCTCTGTGATATTCTAGGAATCCACGGTAGGAAATTCGACTGAACCATCAGAAGAGAATTTCCAAAATTTTGATGAGATCCTTGACACAGACTCAAGTGCAAAATCCAAGGACGATAAAGTAGTGAGCAGTGAAAAACCCGACATAAACGTCCCGAAAGTTGACACTCCTGAATCCTCGAATATTTCAGTTAATCTTTTAGACACAGCACTTGTTGAGGCATTAGCCTCATGTCGCGGTGGGTTGGTCCCGAGCCTCCAGTGGCAGCACCTCCTGGGCGCGAATCTGGTTTACCGGCCGTGCCCACTCTAATTAACATAAGGGCCACTTGTTGCGACACTTACATTCTTCCTTCTTCATAATCGCTCTTCCGAGAAGTGCTCATCTCGTGGTTTGTCTCCGCGATTAATATCTCTAATTATTGTGAACATCTCAATTGTGAAAAATCTTTACCGTGTCTTGAATCAATTATTAACTGACAGTGTTTAATTTAACACATATATTTTTTGACTCAGTTGTGTATTTTATGAGAAATATACAGTTTTTGTTGACTCTACCCACGGGCACAGTGCTCGTTTATTCCTTGTGAACTTCTCAACCCTTTTTCAAACCCCGGCTCCCTATCGGTTTTTTTTCATTAACTCTTGCCGAAACAGCACTCATAGATATTCTCGATGACTATCCAATAGATCGAGGGCCACTGAAAAAACTGAGAGTGAGCACAATCATACGTTCTTTGGGAGAAGTTGAGAGCTCTCCAATGAGTAATAAAGTGGGCCTCACACCGTCTCATCTTCCATGCCCTAATGAAAGTGACACACAGTCTCCAGCTAAAATTTGGGAATCATCGACTATTCCAACTCGTCGATGAGACTGTTTGCATAAAAGATTTGAAGATGAAGACAAACGAAAGGCCCAAAAGACGTCCCAAAGGAGAAACCCTTAATGTGATTGGAATTCCAAAAAGAAAAGTTCCTCTGGATTTCCAATCCAAATCTGCACGCGCAAAAAAGAGTCAATTATTGGAGTGGCTTCTTGAACCAGCAGTGGTTCAACAACTCTCGAATGGTGAATACGAAGTTTCAGTCACTGATTTGAAACCCATCCCTGACAGTTCTATGGATGAGAGTATTGACGTAAAACCTCTGGAAAGACCCCTGCCTAAGAAAGTCTTCTCAGAGTTGTCGTCGCGTGTTAAAAAAATGAAGAAGCATGTGTAATTCACATGTAATCTATGCAACAGAATTATAATAGATAGAGAAGATGAAAGCGGACGCTGTGATGCTTGTTTATAGTGGTACCCCTGCAAATGTATAACTAAACAAGGCTTGCCCAAGCCTCCCAAAGGCAAGAAGAAATGGTACTGCTTGACGCACAAGGAAAAATAAAGTTCTGTGAAACTACTGGTTAGTGCAAAAAAATGTTTTTCCGCGATGGAATGTGCTATTTTTTTAGAAAACCTAAACAAAATTTCGATTTCAGAAACGCGTCACAGGTGATGTTGAGAACACTAAGATATGTGTTGTATTTCGAACAGATGTTTATATTTTCATGAGCAAGAGTTTTTTCTTTAAAGTTAATTTTTATGCAAACAAGGAGAAGAGTACGAAGAATTTGCAAAGTTCTTCTTCTTTCTGAAAATAATCAACATTTTCATTGTTATACGTATGAAAAATTTTTGTATGAAAACTTAATAAATTCGCAACAAGAATGTATTCAATTCCTATAGGACTATTGACAATAGAAAATATTATATAGAAAAACTAATAGTTTTTCATTTTTCCATAAAATTTATTCTGTTAAGATATTTGCAATCGAAATTCTTCGGCCTAAATTTTCCAAGTTTTTTCACAGCATTTTCTTTCCTTTTTGATTACAAAATTCAAATGAAAGAACTTTGAAAATTTATGTCGAAGAATTTCTGTAGGATATATCTCAGTAGAATAAGATGATTGTATACAGGGTGTCCCAAAACCCAATGTCCAAACTGTAATGAAACTCCATCACCGCAAATACCTCCCCAGATGTTCAGACGGTCCCAGCGATACTGGAATCCCCGTGTCCGGCACACTGGGATTTTCAACTGCCCAATGATGCTCACTGTAGTTGAAAACACCTTCTCTGGTGAATGTTGGTTCATCCGTCCAGAGAAGATGATGGAGGAAATTAGGGTTGACTTGATCCTGATCGATGACGAATCGACAGAACCGTATCCGACCCTGATGGTCCCCTGGTAACAACTCATGCACTGGCGTAAAATGAAATGGATACATGTTGTTCTCCTGGACGACCCAATGCACGGAGGACTTGTTCCACTGCATCTGTCTGGAAACCCGTCGGACACTTGCGCGAGGATCATCCTCGAAACGTTCGAGTACCTCTTCCTCTCGCCCCACGTTAGCCTTCTCCCTCGGCCCTCCTCCTCTTGGTGCTGGTGCCAAACGACCCGTTTCTCTCGCACAATTGTGGATAGCAATGAACGTACGATGATCCGGGTGACGACGATTGGGAAAATCGCGAGCGTAACTCTCCACTGCAAGACACCCATTTCCACCACACAGCCCGTAATAAAAATAAATATCGGCATATTCTACGTTGGAATACTCCATCGCAAAACAAACCGACTGCACGACGACTCGAGAGTAACTAACGCGACGTGTCATCAACACGAGAAACAAGTGAAAATAACAAAAATTTTCAGTGAACGTCATTTGTCATTTTTACCTTTGGTTCCCGTCTTGGTACGTCTTCCTCCCCTCCTCCCCCTCCCCACAAATTTCTCAATTATCTCAATAAAGACTGTTTTCCTCTGCGCTTTCCTCTCAAAATTACTCCTCTTCGAGATAACTACATCGAAAATAACTAAAACATTAAAATCGAGAAAAATACGACCATTGATTTGTTCCACCTCCCTGATTCTCCGATTATCTCACTCACAATTATTCTTAGTGAAAAACTTATTCTGAATTTTTTGTCGGAATTTTTCTCAGCTACAAAAACGATCTGTTTGGTGAATGAATAGGTATAGGGTGGATGTGGGATGAAAATGTGGAGGGAGATGTTGGGAAAATTACTGATGAGCCGGATTTAAAAAATCACACTTCATTTTGTGGGATCGAACCACTTTGTCAAAATTTATGTACACTCTTTGGTAATATGTAATTTCACTGGTGATAGTCTAATTTCACTGATGATTGTCTTTGCACGTTAATTTGGTGAGTCACTGAATTTAAACTGAATTTAATCAACAGAGGTGATGTACTGAACAAAGGTATTCAATTTTGAATGTTAATTGACTGAATCGACTTCTCGATATGAACTCTTAATAATGTTGATTAATACTCGTTAATAACTATTCGGTGAATTACTACACGTTGAATTACTCGTTGAGTTCTACTTAATACTTGTGGACTAGTTGAGAGACTACTACTTAGTTGATGTGAACTCGTTGAAATACGAATGGATACTATATGACGTCTACAGGTGATTTGCTCGAGATAGACTTACACGGTGAGAGGGTAAGCCTAAACTGATTCGCGCGTGTTTCGGTGACTTATGACTGATGACCCGAAGGGTCCCGGAGATTTTCGAAGTAGGCCGATGGTCGACCAGAATGTTCTGGAATTTTAGTTGCGTTTCAAACACGATCTTGTGGGTTTTCCTCTCAAAGTTACTCCTCTTCGAGCTAAACGCATCGAATTTAAACAAAACATTAAAATCGAGAAAAATAGGACCATTGATTTGTTCCACCTCCCTGATTCTCCGATTATCTCAATAACAATTGTTTTTAGTGAAAAACTTCATCTAAATTTTTAGTCGAAAATTCCCTCAGCTACAAAAAAGATCTTGTGGGTTTTGCTCTCAAAGTCACTCCTCTTTGAGATAATAGCATCGAAAATACACAGAACATGAAAATCGGAAAGGCAGGACCATTGATTTTTCTCAACTCCCTGATTCTCCGATCATCTCAATAACAATTGTTCTTGGTGAAAAACTTCATCCGAATTTTTTGTCGGAAATTTCCTCAGCTACAAAAAAAAAGATCTTGTGGGTTTTTCTGTCAAAATTACTTCCCTTTGAGATAATTGCCTCGAAAATAAGCAAAACATTAAAATTGGAAAAACCAGACCATTGATTTGTTCCACCTCCGTTTCTCCGATTATCTCAATAACAATTGTTCTTAGTGAAAAACTTTATCTGAATTTTTTGGCGGAAATTTCCTCAGCTATCAAAAAATCTCATGGGTTTTCGTCTCAAAGTCACTCCCCTTTGAGATAATTGCATCGAAAATAAACAGAACATTAAATTCGAGAAAAACTGGACCATTCATTCGTTTCACCTCCCTGATTCTCCAATTATTTCAATAATTATTGTTCTCAAAAGAAACCATAAACTAATTTTTTTTTAATTCTTCAGCTGCAAGACACATCCTATGGATTTTCCTCCTAAAGTTACTCATCTCCGAGATAAATACGGGTTTAGTCCCTCGGAGCTTATTATGGGAGCGACAGAGAAAAATATAAAAAAAAAGAGACCGAGAGAGAGGGTAACTGATTCTTCATCTTTCCTAATTTCTCCCTTTCCTTCCTCCCACCCCTGCTCATGCCTTTCGAACGAAAAACGCAGCCGTTTATTTCGCCCGCGTGAGGGGAGCAGAGCCGTATGGTGGGGACAACACCAACACTCTTGCATTCCACTCACCGATAGGCGTCCGTCCATTCCGCGCACCTGATTGGCGCAACTTCAACTTTGAATAACGTGAGAAGGGTGCTTCTGATCGAAAAGTTCCACAGGAGTTTTCGATTCAAAATTGCCCCCCTAACTTCCAGTCTCAGTTTAGACATTGAGTTTTGGGACAACCTGTAGAAAAATAAAAACCTGTCGTGAATTGGTAAACTAGGATAAATCCATGTCGTTGAGGATGAGTTATCGGTGAATATCTCGTAAAGGAAGTGGGATCACAAAATTTTTATTAAAAGCTTGTTAGAGATTGAGGCTAATATTAGGGCGGATCGGGGACACGTGATATGGAGAGCGTGAAAATGAAAGACGCGCGGATTACAAAACACTGGTGATGTACTTTATTTGTGGCGCAAGCCACGCGTCTTGATTATAGAGATACACGAATTGATGAATGTCTCAATGTCAATTTGATAATAGTCTTTTCACTGCACTGAGATTCTCTCAATATTAAACTTGATAATTAACTCCAAATAAGTGAACTCGGAATTAATTGATAATTGAATTAATTTTTCTAAAAATCTGAAAAAATTTTCACGATATCATGGATTTTTTTGTTGCATTTCGCAAAAATCGGCGTCATAATTTTTTGTTCCCTTCATACGTGGGCCTGCCTAATATGGAGTGAAATGGAAACAAAACAAAATTCAAAAATTTTAATAATTTCGGGAGTAATATCATTTTTGTGGAGAAAAAACACTTAAAATCACCATTTCTAGTTAAAATCACTATTTCTAATTAGTAAAATCCAATGGAAACTCTCTTATGAAACTATGCATTAACTTGAGAAATTTGCTGACACATCAGTTGTTGATAAACATTTTTAAACAATATTTTTCACTTCATTTTATTATGGATAACGTTTTCAACATTTTTTTCACAAAAATGCTACTCCTCCAATTATCAATATTTTTGAACTTTTTTAGCTTCATATGATATATGGAAATTGAGATCACTGAGCGGATTTATGGAAAATAAATGATGAACAACAATAAAAAATTAATATAACGATGTAACTTATGCATGAAATTTTTCCTCATCTAAAAAGAAATTATTAAAAAAAAATCTACCATTTTGGACCAATTATTTCTGAGAGTTGATAAAAGTGGTATGACCCCTTCGCCCGTTAAGAACCACTGGAACAATATGTTTAATTTCATAATAATATTTACGTTGTCATCAATAAGCTTTTTTTTATTTCTATTTTTATGTCAGCTGAAAGAAGAATTGAAACAACTCGCCAATTTTCTTTCTGACGGTTTGAAATGTTCATTATGTTATGTTTAAATGTTCATTATGTATGATACACGTGTGTACAGTGTATAAAATGTTTTCGTATCACAAGCATCTATACACTTAGTGTTAAGAACACAAGAACGATATCGACTTGAAAAAATCCAAAAAATATCCGACCTCATTGTTCATGTATCATTAATATACCAAAAAGTTGCCTTTGAATAAACGTTCGGAAGTACACTTAGTTTTTGTTAAGTATACCTCAAATCTACTTGGAAAATATGATAAATATCTGACTTCGTGTTGTCGATGAAAATCTACTCAAAGTCGATTTAAAATATTCTTAAAAATCCACATAAAATATACAGCAAGTTTCCCACTTCATTGTGCAACTGGGGAATGTAGGTACTTCCATGTTGACGTTAATATCCACTATATACTTCAAATCCACTTAAGAAATACGCCAAACTCAGCAACACTTTTCATATCGCTGGAGAACATACTCAAATTCGGCTGAAAGCATTTTTCAAATTCACTCAAAAATTCGACTTGAAATAAACTTTAAATCCACTCAAAAAAACGCCAATCACTTAGTCTTGTCGCAAAGTTAGGGAGTATACTTAAAGTTGACTTAAAATAAACTTTAAATCCACTTTTTAAAAACGACCATTGCCAGGCCTTGTCGCGAAGTTAGGGAGTATACTTAAAGTTGACTTAAAATAAACTTTAAATCCACTTTTTAAAAACGACCATTGCCAGGCCTTGTCGCGAAGTTAGGGAGTATACTTAAAGTTGACTTAAAATAAACTTTAAATCCACTTTTTAAAAACGACCATTGCCAGGCCTTGTCGCGAAGTTAGGGAGTATACTTAAAGTTGACTTAAAATAAACTTTAAATCCACTTTTTAAAAACGACCATTGCCAGGCCTTGTCGCGAAGTTAGGGAGTATACTTAAAGTTGACTTAAAATAAACTTTAAATCCACTTTTTAAAAACGACCATTGCCAGGCCTTGTCGCGAAGTTAGGGAGTATACTTAAAGTTGACTTAAAATAAACTTTAAATCCACTTTTTAAAAACGACCATTGCCAGGCCTTGTCGCGAAGTTAGGGAGTATACTTAAAGTTGACTTAAAATAAACTTTAAATCCACTTTTTAAAAACGACCATTGCCAGGCCTTGTCGCGAAGTTAGGGAGTATACTTAAAGTTGACTTAAAATAAACTTTAAATCCACTTTTTAAAAACGACCATTGCCAGGCCTTGTCGCGAAGTTAGGGAGTATACTTAAAGTTGACTTAAAATAAACTTTAAATCCACTTTTTAAAAACGACCATTGCCAGGCCTTGTCGCGAAGTTAGGGAGTATACTTAAAGTTGACTTAAAATAAACTTTAAATCCACTTTTTAAAAACGACCATTGCCAGGCCTTGTCGCGAAGTTAGGGAGTATACTTAAAGTTGACTTAAAATAAACTTTAAATCCACTTTTTAAAAACGACCATTGCCAGGCCTTGTCGCGAAGTTAGGGAGTATACTTAAAGTTGACTTAAAATAAACTTTAAATCCACTTTTTAAAAACGACCATTGCCAGGCCTTGTCGCGAAGTTAGGGAGTATACTTAAAGTTGACTTAAAATAAACTTTAAATCCACTTTTTAAAAACGACCATTGCCAGGCCTTGTCGCGAAGTTAGGGAGTATACTTAAAGTTGACTTAAAATAAACTTTAAATCCACTTTTTAAAAACGACCATTGCCAGGCCTTGTCGCGAAGTTAGGGAGTATACTTAAAGTTGACTTAAAATAAACTTTAAATCCACTTTTTAAAAACGACCATTGCCAGGCCTTGTCGCGAAGTTAGGGAGTATACTTAAAGTTGACTTAAAATAAACTTTAAATCCACTTTTTAAAAACGACCATTGCCAGGCCTTGTCGCGAAGTTAGGGAGTATACTTAAAGTTGACTTAAAATAAACTTTAAATCCACTTTTTAAAAACGACCATTGCCAGGCCTTGTCGCGAAGTTAGGGAGTATACTTAAAGTTGACTTAAAATAAACTTTAAATCCACTTTTTAAAAACGACCATTGCCAGGCCTTGTCGCGAAGTTAGGGAGTATACTTAAAGTTGACTTAAAATAAACTTTAAATCCACTTTTTAAAAACGACCATTGCCAGGCCTTGTCGCGAAGTTAGGGAGTATACTTAAAGTTGACTTAAAATAAACTTTAAATCCACTTTTTAAAAACGACCATTGCCAGGCCTTGTCGCGAAGTTAGGGAGTATACTTAAAGTTGACTTAAAATAAACTTTAAATCCACTTTTTAAAAACGACCATTGCCAGGCCTTGTCGCGAAGTTAGGGAGTATACTTAAAGTTGACTTAAAATAAACTTTAAATCCACTTTTTAAAAACGACCATTGCCAGGCCTTGTCGCGAAGTTAGGGAGTATACTTAAAGTTGACTTAAAATAAACTTTAAATCCACTTTTTAAAAACGACCATTGCCAGGCCTTGTCGCGAAGTTAGGGAGTATACTTAAAGTTGACTTAAAATAAACTTTAAATC